AGTATCTAAACGAAAAATTAATGATTTTCTAATCCAATTAAATATACCAAAATCTATTGCGTAGTCAGCTGTAGAAGTTAGTAATGGTTAATAATTAGTAAGGTTGGAAGTTTAATTTTAAGTATACTCTGTTTTTTTTCTCAGGTAAGATTTCGACAGACGATGACAGAAGAAAAGCAGATGACGTCCCATACAAATCTATTAATTTTACTAAAAAAAGTTTCTAATAATTTTTAAGTTAACTATGGATGGGTTTAAATATAAATTCGTCATGCGTCGTCACTTGTTGTTTTTAACCAGTTTTATTGGTTTATTTCAAAAATGACAGATCGTATTTCAATTTTATTGGTTTGACTGAACGATGAACGACAAACGGACGCCGATGCGTATGAACTCGCCTTTAGATTTTTGACGTTTGTCAAAGTCTTGCCAAATTATAGGTTATAATTTTGTGACAACTTTTGTCAAATACCCTGCGTTTTGGAAGATGATGCATTTTGATTCGTGTTATTACGTGTGTTTTGTGTCTTTTGAAGTCAAGTGGAGGAAAAATCGAGTGAAAATTAACTGTAGAACCCAGAGCACAGTTTATGGTTAATACTCGCTGCCCAGGCAGAAAGTCTTATACAGACACACCAATAAAGTTACTATCAATAAAGTTCGTATACCATCTCGTCGTAGATAAGTGCATCTCGAATATGGTAGAAGGACCATACTAAACACATACTAAAAACTGGAGTAGCTGTAAAATATCGACATCACACGATAGGTAAATAATGGATTTTAGTACTGCAGAAAAATAATGCCAAAAGGTACTGGTTTAAAAAAATTAAGATTCAAGTTAATCAACCTGTGAGGTATAAAATTTGGTAAGTGTTATTATTAATAAAATAGTTCGTTTTATTTGTGTTGTTTTATTTATTCCTGCGGAATATTACAAATTTGTATTTGTACATAAGTTATATTGATAAATATAATCATAAATGCGGGAAGTTTCATAAAGCTTGAAAGTAAGAAATAGTTCTTTTTATATTTTTTGGTATGTGGTGTCTTGTTTTGTTTGTTTTGTATTAACACATACCGTTTTTTATTAAATAAAATAACTCGATTACAGTTTTTCAGTTTTATACAGTTTTTTTCACAATATTTTGAAGTTACTTGTCAGTCAAATTTTAAATACATATATTAATTTCCTGCTATGCGTTCCAGTTGTACCAACTTATTTCTTTGTAAAATAAAATAAACTACTTTGAAATTAAAAATGACAGACACATCTATCACTGTCAAGGATCTTCTCGTTGGACAGACTATAATGTTCAGTTTACCAGAACTTATAACGTTTTTTTAAACATTACCACTGCGAACGGCAGCTTTTCGTTGGTAGAGCAGTCGTGGATAAGGTATTTCACTGGAACTAGAAACTAACTAACAATAATAAATGAAAAATACAAATATTGGGCACCAGGCATGAACAGAGAAAGAAAACGAAGTTGTATATTACTTAAAACTAATGACTATATTTATTAATGATGGACTCTGTTGATAGTAAATGATATTGTCGAATTCTAGTAAATATAGTGGTTGTATGTCGAAGAAAGTGGTGTTAAAAATAGTATTAAATTTGTTCTATGAAAACGACTATAATACAATACATGTAATGTTATAGAAAATATATGAAAGGTAGCATTACTTTATTTAATTTGTTATATTTCATACGATGTTAAATCTGAGATGTTGCAACCCGTAGATTCTAGAATCTATGTTTGGTTATTCATCTGTTAAAATAGCCCAACAATAATATCTATAGAAAGTAATACTATTACAAGACGTAATGTAATGAAACCTAAGATCTAAATCATATTTTAAACACTAAATCGACATGAATAAGTTCTTAACGATCTAACCACTAAACATAGTCTGTACGATATTATTTAAGATGTACGTTATTATGTTAAGACTGAAAATGTTTTAAATGTAAAACGTAAAACTAGAACTTAAATCTATCATACACTTAGCTGTTTGTTCTTTAAGTAATCTTGCTTCAAACAGTAACAGCCTGAGGTGGGCTCGCATCTCGGCTCTACTGTTGGCCAATACAACAAAAGAGGCCAGGATGAGGACACCATGAACTAATACAGTCGTAACTGTCGACCAGGTTTAAAACTAAGAGCAAAGCAGCATGGAGCTTACGCTACTGTGCCATTACTGCGTGCTATACTGTGGCCATTTAAACATAGGATAAATTATCCGTACAGTGTGTCCCATTTTGGTTGAAATCATACGGTATCTCCGTTATTAGTGAAGATAGAAGGGTGCGGCTTGCACAAACCTCTCTCACTTTTTTGTCAAACGGAAGATGCCCTAAACAAAATTTTCATAGCCCTCTTCGTTTCCGAGCTATAGGGTCTTTTTGAATTTTTTGCAATTTGGGACACCTCCTGTATCTCTGTTATTGTTAAAGCTATCGAGAAGGTGAAAACTGTTTATTGTAGAACTTTGTACGTAGAATACAGTGGCGTAGTCTGTTTTTCTACCAAAAAAATATTTTTGAAAATATGAACTAAAGTTATGTTTTTTTAAATGGAACACCCTGTATATTTATAAATCATATGATCTGTCTTGTCATAAGCTTCTCAAAAATATATATCATTCTATATTTATTTTCACTATTTACTGCAATATTTAAAAGTTTTTATTAAAAGATCATATTTATTAGTAGCCCATGATTGATAATAAAAGAAACTAGAGAATTATTAAAAGTATACTGCTATCTGTCTCTTGTTTTATTTTGGGAGCCGCTAATAAATTCTTTATATATTAGGGAAACTTAACTCTCTACCGCTATTTGTAAATCTTGGAATACGTGTATACGTAAGAATAATCTATCGTATCGGAAATTTTAGATATTCCTTTAGCTAATTTACGTAAAATATACTTTCAGCAAGATGGGGAACATTCCCCCTCATAACTATGGAAATATTAGAATACTGTTAAATTATTATTTTTCAAATCAATGAATTGGAACCAATGAACGCATATTGATAGCCTCCTCGATTCTCGGATTTCGCCGTTCTCGATTTCTGATTTTGGGGATTTTTGAAATACGAAATATATCGTGGGCACTACAACAATGTCGAACACCTGAAAAATTCTTTCATAATTCAAGATTTAGATATTTGCAAACCCATCCCGTTATAAAAAAAAGAAAAAATATATTCACAGTTTCAGTGGTAACAGTTATTTCAAAAGTAAAATATATCAATCCCAAATATATTTTAATATGTGTATGACTATTTTAGTAAATACCATTTTGATTTTTGTTATTTATCACGGCCTACTAATAAGAAAATGATATATTTTAAATATTGCAGTAAATAGTGAAAATAAATATAGAGTGATATATATTTTGAGAAGCTCGTAGCAAGACAGATCATATGATTTATAAATATACAGGGTGTTCCATTTGAAAAACATAACTTTAGTTCATATTTTCAAAAATATTTTTTGGTAGAAAAACAGACTACGCCACTGTATTCTACGTAAAAAGTTCTACAATAAGCAGTTTTCGCCTTCTCGATACCTTTAACAATAACAGAGATACAGGGGGTGTCCCAAATTGCAAAATTTTTGAAAAGACCCTGTAGCTCAGAAATGAAGAGGGCTATGAAAATTTTGTTTGCAGCATCTTCCGTTTGACGAAAAAGTGGGACAGGTTTGTGCAAACCGCACCCTTCTATCTTCACTAATAACGGAGATACCCTATGATTTCAACCAAAATGGGACACACTGTACATGGGAACTACGCCCCTACATAGAACATCCGTCCATAGGAAAACTACCCGTACATAGGGCATCCATTCATAGGAAAACTGTACAGGGGAACACTACCCGTACCTTGGAACACTACTAGGACCTTGGATAATGCCCGTACCTTGGATACTGTCCGTACCTTGGACCCTCGAAATACTTCCGAAGGCTCTATAATAAACAAAGGCAATTGTCCTTTCTTCCATTTAACATTCTGGAGGACAAAAGCAAAAGAACACCAATGTGTTCAATTCCAAATGTTCAATTTTTTTTTTGGCAAAAAATACCTCATAGGCGTGTTTCTGAGGCCGAAATATACTACCAGTTAAAATGCACTTATTTCTGGGACACCCTGTATTTGAGATGTATAAAACTTAAACTCATACGTTTACTTGTTTTTCTGAACATCTGATCCTTTCCTCTTTCTATTTGATACGCCACTGGCAAATTGGATCGCATTGTTCGCTCCAGATTCTAATTCCGCGATAAGCGGCGTTAAATATTTAAAGAAGCGGAAAATTAAACCACGGTCGGGCCAAGATCAAATGGTGCAAATGAGAAAAGGATTAACTAATCTTATTTCTATTTGCCCGTGTGTGTAGAACAGTGCGGTGTCTGATTGCCACTGTTGAATAATAATAAATTACCGCGGGTGGATTAGGAACCGCGGGATATTTAAAACGGTTTTTGTTTTTCGTTCTCGCCGCTAAGCTTTGAATCAATGTTTGCTAATATTTTAATTTACTCAGATTCAGTCGGCATGTGTATGATTGTACTATTTATCTACAAAGGTAAAGAAACTTCGGAACCCTATAAACAAAATGCTTTATTATATACACACAACAAAGTCTGTGTGTACTCCAAAAATACAATAATTCACATCAAATAGAGCAGGTATTTATTTAAATGTTATGTACTTAAAATTTACCTCTAGATCGTAGGCATTTATGACATGATAAATATATTATACAAGAAATCAAAGCAAGAGTAAGGATATATAAAACAACCCCAGAATTTCTTCTTCTTCTTCTTCTTCTTCTTCTTCTTCTTCTTCTTCTTCTTCTTCTTCTTCTTCTTCTTCTTCTTCTTCTTCTTCTTCTTCTTCTTCTTCTTCTTCTTCTTCTTCTTCTTCATCAGGCAGATTGCCTGTTCATTCTTCACATCATGCCTACTATGCTAAGTACTAGTAATACCTAATCGATGGTAAGGTTATCACACCATCTTTTTCTTGGCCTTCCCGTATTTCTTCTTCCCAGTGGTGATTTGTCTCGAGCTGACCTTACTATTCTTCCCTCGTCCATTCGGCTTATGTGTTCATTCCATTCGCGACTTCTGCTCAATACCCATTCATTAATGTTATCCACCTTGCATGTTTTTCTTATGTTGTTGCTTCGTTCTCTATCTAGCAGCGTTTTACTTGTGATTTTGCGGAGGATTTTCATCTCGCCTGTTTCCAAGAATCTTTTTGTTTTTGCTGTATCCGGTCTGGTTTCTGCTGTGTAGGTCATTATGGCCTACAGCCTTGTATATTCTTGACTTGACCTCGACACCAAACCAATCCTACTAGAAATTAAGTTAGCATGAAGTATGGAGTTCTTATGGAAAAACTTAGTCATATTCAAATCTAGAATATCACTTTACCTAAAGAAGAAAACATTCGACCAATGTGTATTGACAAATGAATACGTCAATCAATCCTAATTTATGTCATATATTAACATACCAAATCTCGGTTTTTTATCTAAAAAAATAAAAAAGTTATAGGGGTGAACCACTTTTGATTAGTGGCCATTATGATTAGTGGCCATTACTTTTGATTAGTGGCCTTACTTCAACAGAAGAATTAAGTTAGCATGGAGTTCTTTTAGGACATACATTTATACGAACTTTTCTATAAGTATGTTGCCGAAGTTTCCGGAATACATTTCGGACCACCTTGTATATGGCAAAACAACGTTTGCCGGGTCAGCTAGCATATTAAAAAATTTTACAGTCATTGATGATTGACTAATTATTCATTGATTAATGATTATTATCTACGAGTATATCATTTAAATAAATAAAACAATGTGAGGTTCGTTTAACCATCTCAAGAACGGCCTGAGACACAAAAGCTCTATAAAGTTGTGGTGATTAAATACAAATTTAATAAATTTAAAGAGAGAGATTTAATTAATTATTGATAAAGATTAAACATAAAGTTGTGGTGACTAACCCCCTTCCATACTATCTATTTACATCTACTAAAAGACATATTTTTTTAGTTATCTTGATAAATCTATCTACGCCACTGCGGTTCACTATTTGAATTCGGATATTGTAAACCCGAATCCGGTGGGTCGTGCGGCGTCGGCCAAACATCAAAGCCGGCAACCATTTAAATTATAAAGCGGGGCGGGCCCTCGAAAGTCAATACGTTTAGTGCCGCTGCTTGAACCACCGAGAAAAAAAAGTAGCTCGGTACTAATGAGAGTAATAAAATTCGGCTTAGGGACGCGTAACAATAAATAAATCATTGTTAGGTGTTGGCCTTTGAATTTTTTCGGTGGGTCCCATATTCGGAAACGTTCTTGGAATGTATTATTTTTGATTGGAGTGTTTCACTGCTGAGTGAGATTATTGTTGGCATATTTTCATAAAAGTATCTATTTTGATTAGATAAAATAACGGTGTTGCATTCTACCTTATTCCTATTATCGAATTAACGAGTATTGAGCTTCGTTCAGAGCCTGGCAATCTCGCAATTAGTGGAAGTTTTTGTATTTTTAATAATTTTTCAAGAAAGTCTGAAAAATGTATATTTTTTATTTATTTATTAATATCTCTGAACCTATCGAAATATATTTACTCATATATTAGGATTATGTAAAGTGACCTGAAAAATAGCCAAAAATGCAATAATATACAGGGTGTTCCATTTTAAAAAAATCATCCCGATCCAGTCACTTTTTTGAGCCACCCTATAGAAGTTAAAATATTTTAGATTTACTTTAGATTTGCACTTAAACAAAATTTCCATTTTTTTTATTCTAGGAGCTACAGATGCTCGACACACTATTGCCGGATCCTGTTTACTATTTTTTAAAGACTTCTTAATATCAATTTAATATTTTTAGAGCCATATTTTAATTCCGGTTTAATAATCATAATAAATAGTAAATAATACCGCATGCTCGAAAAAACATGGCGTCCAGTTGGCTTGGAAATGAACATCGATGACATTCCCCATATAATTTTATATATAAAATGACAGCGATCCTTATTTTATAACGATCGCTGACGCCGTTTTTTGTCATATTGAGCAGAGGCCAACAATATTTATTTGAAGTTGCATAAAAACAGGATTTCGTCTTTTTGGTCGATATTTAATGCTTTAAGCCCCATACTCACACTTCGCTACTTCACTTCGTTCCTTCCTCGCGTCCCTTCATCCAAAAATCATATATTTACTATGGGAAAATGTCGATTTTATGCGACTGTGTGTTCCTTCCTCCTTCGTCAAAACGCTACTTCGTCCGTTTACTTCCTCGAAACGCTCCTTCCACGTATTGTCGGTTTTTCGAGGAAGTAGCAAAGGAATTATCACAAACACAAAAAAATATTAAAATATATAAAATATATAAATCGATCTTGGATTTCATTCGTAGTTGATTTCTTGATTTGGCAGTACGTCTATACAGGGTGTCCCATTTTCATATGTTTTGCAGGGTTTCTCGTTTATGAGTCGAAATACAAAGATGCGGTTTTCACATTACGCTGTTACTTTTTTATGAAACTAAAGATGCTACATACAGATATGTCCTAGCTCTCTTACTTCCTAAAATACAGGGCGAATCTGAAATTATTGCATTTTTCGATCCCCTTTGTATCATAACTTATCGAAAAGGTGAAAACGGTCTCCCGTACAGTTTTTCACGTAGAATGCAGTGACGTAACTATTTCTTCGTTGGAATCTGTCTTTTTTTAAATTGACTAAAACTTATATGTTTTTTTTTAAATACGATATTTTGTATATTATTTTATTTTCCTTGTTACGAGCTTTCTAAAATACTTATTTTCATAAACGGGGTACAAATGCATTATTTAACTTTATTACATAGTCGGCCGGTTTAAATTAGGTAATCAAAACAATCAACTAATTAATTCGACGTAAAATGTTGGTTATTGGCATGTTATTTAAAAGCAGCACAAGTTCAGTTTCCGTGTAGTTTATCAAAATATCACGATGCAAAGCAAAATTATCTGGTAAAATTAAGTTAAATAAAATAAGAGCCGTTTAGCAGTTTAGCAGTACCTAAATAAATAAATATAGAGTATATTATAATTTTCGAAAGCTCATAACAAGGCAAATAAAATAAAAAATAATATATAGAGTGTCCTGTTTAAAAAAAGAACATAAGTTTGAGTTATTTTTCGAAATAGACAGCTCCCAACGAAGAACCACTTTCGTCACTGCTATTCTACCTGAAAAACGAGACACGGGCGGTGGGTAAGTACTCAATAGGTAGAACAAAACAAAAAATCAGGGTATCCGGTATATACCTGTACATTTAGATGAACAGTCTAATTTTATAAAAGGTATTTCCAACGACCGCATAGTAAATACCCGATATAATACCAGTAATGTCAGGAATACGAGTATATCTACAATATTTCTTATATATATTGTAGATATTATATATTGGTATATTTCTATTCCCGGTATTATACCGGGTATTTACTATGCGGTCGTCGGAAACTCCTTTTATTAAAATTAGGATGTTCATCTAAATCTACAGGTATATACATATATACCCAGATTTTATTTATCTACAAATTGGGTACTTACCCACCGCCCATCACTGACCCTTTTCACCTTTTCGATAAGTTATAAGATAAATAGGATAGGTATAATAGGCTAGGATAAATACATATTTATCCTAGCCTTCTTAGTTCAAAGTTATTTCTTATTTCTTATGTAGCATATTTAGTTTCATAATAAGTAGAACAATGATGTGAAAACAGCATCTTTATATCTCTACTCATAAACCAGAAACCCCATAAAAAACACGCAAATGGGATATCCTGTACATCTAGCAATCGCCAGTCGATATAAAAATAATTCACACACAATAGTCTAAAAAATGGAAGAAAAAAACAATATTGTCTTCATATTTGTGAAAAAATGCATGTCCATATTTATGTAATCGTAGCGACAAAAATAAAAAAATAGAAATAATGTGCATGATGCCTTTACAGAAATATCTGAAGAAATGGGGATTGACATCATTAACGTTTAATTAGTATGTCATATTTCATGGTTTCGATATAAATTACATAATAAACTTTACTCTACTGTTGACTGGCCTTGTACATTCATACTGATATACCTTGTACATGATACTGAAATATTCGGATTTATTAAAAAAATATATTATTAAAATTCAATTTTTATTTTTGACACGACAAAGAATTGCAGTTTTATAAAATAAAAATTATGCGCCTTTCGGATTTTTTAAAAATTTTAGAGGTTACTAGATATTTCGTATTAAACATGTAGCTGCTATATTAAAAATATTTTGTGGTGTGTTGTTGCATAACTGACTAATTTCCAAGCATCGAATGGACGAAGGAAGGAAGCGAAGGGACGAAGGAACGCGAGGAAGTAACGCGAGGAAGTAAGGCAAGGAAGGAGCGAAGTGTGAGTATGGGGCTTTATAGTCAAAACAATTAACATAACAAAAATATTAACCTGAAAATTAAATACCTTACTCCCGTACTAAGCACAGTTAAATATATTTTTTTTGTAAATAACTTTCTTATCGTTTGCATTTTATGCCCATGATGTTTGTTTAGGGCTTTAAATGCTAACGTGTTCTGTCAAAATCATATACTTTCTCCATGGATATACTATAATTAAGTAAGTGTAAATTAGGATGGAAGTTGTCAAATTCGAACATGATTAACCGCCTCGCTACCGATTACTTGTCTAATCTCTCAAATATCGCTCTGTGGCTCAACCATTCTGAAATTAGGATCGCGGTGTTGACATCAAACGCGAGATGACGAACATCTGCGCCGCGTCTTCGTTTTTTCTCCGTTTCCACGTTATTTGTGTACGTTATTCGCCGTCCGTTTATTTTAATACAGTCCGACATCAAATAATTCAACACTTAGCACCAAACACTATTAGCGAGATCAAAGATCCGGTGGCATATCGTACAGCAATACCAATAAACTTATCAACGTGTCTTTTCCACGTCCTTTTCGTTTTTAAAAGCTCCCGAACTCCGATGCCATTTGTTTTAGTTGGAAGCATAACATTTTTCCATCTGTTCTCGTAAGTTTCAGTTTCAGTTTTTTATTGTATCCGTTAATATAGGCAATAACTAATATTTTTAAAGCCTATAACTCTTTTAATTTATTTATTTCATATTGTATTCTAAATCACACCTTTACCTACTCGATTTCAGTCGAGAAAATAAGGCTTTAGAGTATATTTTTTTAATACAGCCCCGATTATTTTTCT